AAGGAAGTGCAGCCGTAAGAATTCAGTATGGGATTGCTGATCTGGAATTCAGTTTTAACGCAGTGTTGCCTCAAGAGTTTAATCTGTTAAAAAAAAATTAAACACATGCACTGCCATACAGTTACAGCACTGCTTGTAGCTCCCTGCAAAAGCAACTGGGGTCTTAGGGCAGATGTCCAGAATTTCAGCTGTTAAACTGGTGCCCAGACCCCGCAGACACTGCACACACTGAAAGGTTTCTACCATTAGTATGGTGGGGTGTGGCTTGGTTTGGTTTTTTTTCCCTATTTTACCCACCCAGGCTCATGCCCTTGTGCAGGAGGTGCTGGGGTGTGAAGGATCTCCAGCCCCTTGATGAAAAAAAAAAAAAAAAAAAAGTCTGCAAAAAAAATATTCTGATGAGTCATGCCAAAGTAATAGGATTTCAGCAATATTTTGAATGGTTCAGGCTAATAATCAGTTCTCTGAGTCATTTGTTTCTGAAGAACACCATAGTGAAAGGAGTTTGCTGTAACACAGCAGGTAACTAAAATAGCCTTTGGGTTTTTTAAACAGCCTTTCCTGTGTTTTGTCCCCAGGTGGGCAGTTGCTGGTAGCCAAGCCCAGCCTGGCTGGGCCGGGGGCTCCCAGAGCCTTGATGGACTGGCAGCCCTGCAGGGAACTGCTGGCAGCCCCTGGGCACAGCGGGCTGCAGACAGGGAACTCGGGCATGGATCGCTCATACCCCTTCCCTCCTCCAGCCCTGGCCACTGGTAAGTGCCACCGCCCTGCTCCGATGTGCTCCGAGCCGTACACGCACATTGCTCTATGCGAGTGTCTTCTCCCTATGCATTTCCAGGCTATTTTTAATCCAAACCTGACAGCGAGGTGGTGTTTGGAGGGCAAATTACTCTTGCTAATCAATGCGAAATCAAGTAAGTTATTTTAATTCTGATTTGAGCTGCTCCCCGTGTGCATCCCTAGCCTCTACCCCCACCTCGCTGCAGGTATATTTAGGGATGCAGGTGTATTGTGGGCTGGCTAATTTGCTACTTTGAAGGACAAAATGGTGCAAAGTTGCGTTACAGCACATACCTGTAATGATCTGGGTCATCACACCACGGTTTGAAGTTAAAGGAGGCAGCAGCGGCTGGGAGCGAGGGTTACGGACGGCACTTCTCATGAGCCACGATCTGCTGCTGGCTTTCAGCAGTCTGGCCTCAGCTCTGCCCCGGCAGTGATGGAGGGGACACAAACACCCAGTCCCAGTTGTTTTACTCATCAGGGCTGTTAGGCTGACTAAAAAAACCTGAAAGCTACACACGTGACATCCAGCTCTGGCCTCCGCTGCCTGTTCAGGCTTTTGCCGCCCTGTCCCCACTGCAGGGATGGCACCAGCTCTGCGCCCAGCCCAGAACCTGCCGGAGGCAGGGCTCTGCCCAGCCACCGCCACACAACGGGCACCCCCGCAGCTCCTGCCTTCGCCACACATGGGCCCCTCAGAATAAAACTGCTGAGCGCAGGGAGTAGCTCTTGGGGCGTATCTCCCTTTGCAAGCAGTGCAAGGCTCTGGCCATGCTCTGGTCTGAGCTTTTGGATCAAACCATTTCAGCAATGCACCCTTGTGTTGGGTTTACACGGCAAGGTTTGGGTAGTGGGGGGCTACAGGGATGCCTTCTGGGAGATGGCTCCAGGAGAGACTCGCTCCGAGCCCATCAGCCACTCTGGCAGTGCCTCTGGGGAATATATTCCAGAAGGGGTTAAAAACCGCTGCACAGCAGCAGCTGGGAGAGAGGAGTGAGAAAAGCTGAGAAAAAGCCACGTAGACACCACAGCCAGTGAAGGAAAGGGATGAGGCAGAAAAGTCAGGAGGGAGGTTGAGCCTGCGAAGGGAGGGGTAGGGGTGTTTTGGTCTTATTCCTCACTATCCTGCTCTGATTGCCAATACATTAATTTCCCCAAGTCCAGTATGGTTCACCCATGATGGTAAATGATCTCCTGGTCCTCAACTTGACCCAGAAGCTTTCCATCACATTTTCTTCCCCTGTCCTGTTGATGGAGGGAGGTGACAGAGCAGCTTAGAGGGCACCTGGCCAAGGTCGACACCCCCTGTAACCGAAACAAGGGTCAGTGCCAGCGTTTGCCCAGCCACAGGCTCTCTGCTGCTCACCTCTTTCCACCAAGAGAATGCCCACAGCCACCGTCATGGCAGTGCAAACAGTCCCACGGCATCAAGCCATACACCACTTCCACCCAGGGCAAAGGACCTTGCTGGCATCTAATGAAGACACAGATTTTGCAATTCATTGCACAGCAAGACTGCAACACAACCAGGTACGACACAGCATTAATTCTCATCCCGGATCTCCGAAAGGCCCAGCCCCAGGTGGCATCAGGAGACACTCGTGAAGCAGAGCAGCACAAAGCCTGCGGCGCTCCCCAGCACCAGCCAGCCATCCTGCGCAGCCCCCTCACCCAGCACCAGCCACCACGGGGGCTGTTAAACACCTTCCTGTCGTTTTTTTTACATTTGTTTTCAACGCTTTAATAAGCTTCCTCATGGTAAAAGGGCAGAGACTCCCCTGAGGCCCACAAGACAGGTTGGGGCAGCTGAAGTTGCTCAAGTCGCACGCAGAAGAAGGTATAAATTAAAGCTAACTTAATGGGGATTCACAGCAGTGGAGGCTTGCCACAATTTAACGGTAGCTTTCTGCCTGTTCTGCCTCCACCCACCACCGCAACTCCAGTTACACAGCAATGGTAATAACAACCCATCCTCATCTCTCTGTTTCTGTGTACATTGCTGCACCTCTCCCGTAGTTTATGAGAAGTCCTTCAAGACTTCCTTCATCAAGGCAGAGTTTAGCCCCTGAGTTTTGATAAGAACACAAAAGATTTGATACAGAATTTCAGATAATGGAGCCAAAATGTGAGTACGCGGTGCCCTCATGACCGTGGATACAGCGCCCGCCTGCACCAGGATCAGTCCAGCAGGGGCAGGGGTGTTCCAGTTGACAAGAGGTTTCCTGTCACATCACTGGGACCCGAAATGCTGAAGTTTAAATACCGAGTGCAAGACTGTGCATGAAGTCAAGCTTAAGAATATTTCCATCACCACTTTATTAAAAACATATCAGCTTGGATTTTGGCCAAAAAAATTTCCACAGTAGAAGTGTTCCACACAGAAAACCAACACAGCTCTGCCGGCTGCCTGGAGCATTTCACAGGAGATTTGATACGTACCTGCTGCAGGTACATACAGCTGTGCATCCCATCTCCAGCAGCCTGCTGTGTCCCAAAGGCGCTCGCCACACCTCCTCTGCTCGGCAGGTACCATGACACACGGCTCTGCTGCTCGCCCGTTACGCTCCTTCCCCTGCCAGCACACCGCTGCCTCCCCGGCGCTGGCCCTACGTCCACCCTCCGCACAGAAGAGCCGCCTGGGCAGAGTGCAGCTGGGGCCAGCCGCTGAGGACGGCTGGGCTGGTCTCCAACAGCCAGCACGACTTTTCTTACACATAAAAAAATAGTTATTAAAAACCCTTTTCCTTGAGAAACAGTTCTGCTCAGCCCAACACCGACAGCCCAGAGCTGGTGGGAGGGAGAGCGTCCATAAATGAAAGTCCTGCGCTACAGATTTTTGTCTTGTGCCAGTTTTCCCTGAAGGAGATGCTCTTCATCCTTAGACACACGGGGACTCGGTAGCTGTGGGCTGGGCCTCAGGCTCTTTGGGAGCTCATCACGAACCAGACAGAGCTCTCCCTGCACTTCCACTCTCCTTGGGGAACGTACATCTTCCCTGCAGCCCGGCCGGAGCATTTCACCGATGCAGGGATGACAACACACCCAGGCACTGCTCTGGCTGTCTCTGCTCACAGTCACTTCTTCCTCAGCCTCACGGAATGAGTCTTCCTCTCCAAGAAGCTTGTCACCAAGTTCCCCATCTTCTTAGCACCATGGCCCAGTAACTAGGTGAAGGACTTCACCATGCTGACCATATGATCAACTCCACACGCAACATCCACCACCTCCCCGGGCACCGTCACCTGCGGCAGACACACAAGAGTGGATTATTTCCCCAGCCGGTACCTTGCACCTGGTGTTTCCCATTTCTCAGCCTCCTTCTGCTTAACAGGCCAGCTGGTTTCACCTGGACTCCTACCTATGAAAGTGCCACCTTGAAAACCCAGAGCAAGCAAGATCCAGCACCAGACACGGTTACGCACTGACCTGTGAAACATTCCCCTTCTAAGCACAGAAACCTTTGGAAGGACAGACAGAGCGGTCTCGCTAGCAGACAGCGAGGAGGCTGCAGCCTCAGCCCATCTGCTCAGCAGCAGAAACAGCACGGCGGAGCAGAGAGCAGCCCTGACAGCAGGAGGAGGATCTGCCTCAGCACCGCAAGGATTTGCCTCTTCTCTCGTCACCAAGGACTGGAATGAGGCGAAGGCTCAACCCAGCGTCAGGCAGTTTTGGCTTTGACGCTAAGCAGACCCAGCTCACTCACTCACTAGCGTAGTTACAGCTCTTACACTTAAAGCTGACTTCAAACCCAAGGAACACAGAGGCTACAAACGCAAGTTTTCCTTAGAGCTAAGGGAGAGGGAGACTGCGAGTTCTAGGGCAGGAGACTCCACTCAGCCACAGCACTGTGATTTTAGGCAAATGTTCCAGAGTTGGTCTTTTTTTTGTTCATTTTTAAAAGGAGGGGAAAGCGCGCTAAAGAAACACATCCACTGCAAGTTCAGACACACAGAACGGGACTCCAGGGTGGTCCAACTGATTGCCTCCCTCCTCTCCTACTTGGCCTTCGTGGAGGCTGGGAACATCTGTTAGGCTGAGTGCTGAACTCCGGAGTCAAAGACTCTTCAACACCCACTGAGTCTGGCTTTCAGAGCCATCTGAGAGAAGGGAGTGGAACTGGAAGCATTGCAAAACAGCTATGAAAACAGTTCCGTGGCTACGGAGCTCCCACTGCAACCGCAGAGGCAGCCCGGTGACCCACCACCATGGCTGCTTGGCTTGGAAGAGGAGCAGGGGAAGGCAGCCCACTGCCGTGCGGACCTGCTGCCACCGTAGTGTGATCGCCATGACCAAAATGTTCACCTAATTCAGATGTGTAATGCAAAGCTCTTAGGTCACAGGTGACCAACCCCAGTGGTTTTCTTTGGAGCACATACAACAGTGATGTGCAGGTTAGAAAGGGAGGGAAGAGGCAGTAAGGGGTAGCAGGTAGAAAACTGCAGACAGGAGGAAGATAAGAACTGCTCAGAAGCAATGGCACTGCACCAGATTTTGCTTTGGGATCTGAAATCTATATTGAAATAGCAGAACCAGAAGACTCAAAAAAAAAAAAAAAATCAACCTGAATAACCCCATCCCTAAGCAGGCAAGGCAAGGATCTCTGGAAAACAAAGCAGGTCTACAGCCATCTTAGGCTTCCACTTCTTTCAAAAGTACTCAACAAGACTACACAGCATGTGATATTTCTTGCCCCCAGGATGACACAGACTAGCTAAAGAATGCACTCGTGACATTAATACTGCCATCCTTACCCTCCATGGGAAATACTGGTCTTCCATTCTTCCAGTTCCCAAGCACCCTCTTAGATTCTTGCCCCATACAAACAGTTCTCCTCTGTCTATACAGGGGAAAAAAAAAGAATAAAAAAAATAGAGCAGAGTCATTAAAAAGGAAGAATTCTATTTGTGATGCTGTCACGTGTGGCTACAGTGCTTCTGGGAGTATAAAGGGTTATACATGCAGCATTGAGCCTAGTTTCCCAGTACAATAAACACACTTGTGCTTGGGGAAAATTATGCCTAATGAGCAGGACAAGCAGCAAGTTCTGGGCACAAGTCGTTGCTTCCCCCTCTTACAGTTCTTACTTTGGAATTTTATTTGAAGAAAGAGTGCAGCAGAAGAGATTCCTGGGAATAATTTGTGCTGAAAGTTAGACAATTATACCGACCCTCATCAGTTACCAGCACAGCAAATGGTGTAGGCAAGGCAGTGAAAGCTGTCCCCAGCCATCACCTGGGGACTGGCTGTTCAGCTGCCTGACAGAAGTGACCTTCTAATGACAACTGGGGAAAAGATAAAATGTGTGTTCAGAGTTGGAGAGTTTTAAGCTCCTCAGCAAAACACATAGATCTCAGAAGTGTTCAGATCAGCCCCACAGTAGAGACAACCAAAACGATCTATAACTAAGTACAATTTAATTGGAGTGCAGTTTCTAACGCTTCCCGAACCAGGCGCAGACCAGTCACAAGCACCCTGTACCCTGACAGTGCCCTGCATTCCAGTTGTGCAAGAAGGACCAAGCAGGCTGGCACCCAGTACCTTCCATTAGCACACTGTCACTTTCGCTACCAAGCACATGGGTTTTCTGTGCTGCTGCCCTCTGCTGCCCATTTTTAAATGGCCTTCAAAGCTTGCTTTAACGGCTGGTGTCAAATACATGGTGCACATACAGAAGCATCACACCCTTTGCATGTTCGAAGGTCCTCCCACCTCAGACTGCTCACTGAACTGGTCAGAGGAGCCAAGAAACCCTGACATCTACCGCTGACTTAGACTCTCAGTTTTAGTTTGTCCATGTATCACAGAAATTCCTGCTGCTGACATTCTGCATGTGGAAATGCAAAAACCTTCCCTGGTTTCCTGTTTGACACAAATGTTTTGTTTGCTTTAGAAGAATAACACTTTCTTAATTAAAGCATAAGTCAGTTCTAAAAACGACAGGTATGTAAAGCCAGATGTTCACATCGTAATAAGCTTCATCACAGCAGTGCCTGTGTTACAAACCTGCTGACACCTGTAAATGTGCTGCCCGACCCTCCTGCTGCGTTCCAGTGTGCTTTAAGTCTAAAGAAAGACGGGCACTTTTTTTTTTTCCACTTTTAGCTGCCAGTAGTATGGCAACATGACCCCTCCATGACAGCAGGACTAGAAACTTACTTGTAAGTGCCGCAAAATGGCTGAGTCCACAGCGAATGTGAGCAACACGGATGTCCGGATTGAAGTCCGACCAGCCAAAAAGACTGGGTGGGATCATCTCTGGCACTGCTGTCTCTATTACGTTTGGTCCTTTCCCAAGAATTCCGTAACCCCAGACAAAAACATTTCCTTCTTCTGCATTACAATAAGAACACATTCTGTAAGAAAGTCTGTGCTTGTGAAATTGATGCTGTGACCAAGAGTTAATCAGATCCAAAGGGATATTTTCCTTTCTCCCAGAGCAGTCTAGCACCTTTTGATTATTTAAAAATAGCAAACAATGCATTCCCATCCACATGTCCTAATTTTTTCCTAAGCTGTGCAAGCAGATCAAGCTTCCCAGGCCAAACCTTCATGGGGAAATAATGCCAACACAGTGTGGGCTGAATAAAATATTTCAGCTTACTGACTGATGGGACAGAGGTTGGGTGTTTTATCACCACTTCTTCCTTTGAGGCATGGCCAAACCAGTGGCAGGCTAATGGCTCTGCCTGGCATCCTGCCTTAAGCTGGGTGCCTGGGAAAGGCAGCAGTTGGACAGCAGAAGACAGAGTCAATTGCTATGTCTGCTAGCTCTGCTCCCTTCACACTAAAAGCTCAAATGCCTTGCCATCACAACCGCATTGTACATATGAACGTCTTCCTTGAGATGATCCTTCATAAAAGTGGTACAATCCTCTCCCTCATTCCTTCACTCCATGACTTTCAAGCTGTGCTCCCCTGGCCTGCACTAAGAAACCTGCTGCAGAGTCTCACTGTTCTCAGACCTCTCTACTTTCCAGCCTAGTTTATCAATACTTATTTACATGTCAGATTTATACTGAGTCTGAAGGGCACTTCTTTCTCTCAAGTGTTGCCTGACTTCCTTCCGATATCCATCTTCATTATAAGCCACAGACGGCCCGTGTGATCAGCAAACAAAGGATCAGAACAGCAAGCAGCGACCACGCTCTCGTTCCAGTTTGTCTAAGTGCTCACAACAGCACATACTGGAAGCAATGCTCCGCAGCTAGTGAAAATAACCCCCCCAGTACATTCTTAAATCACAGGTTTCTCAGTCTCACAGTTTTCCTTGTAACAGACAGCGCTTCCCTGTTTCCAGTGAACAAGATCCTTGCTCCATGATGTCACTACTGCATGGCTTTGCACTGAAGAGGATGATTGTAAAAGTGAACCCACCTGTTAGCACAACATTGCCAGTCCCGCCACAGGCAGCCTCCTTGATCTTCCCAATCTTGAATGGCAGATGTCTGGGAACATTCACCTGTAGCAGGTTGCAAGGGAGTCATCAGAGACAAGGTAGAAACTGCAAACTCGACATACTTTTAAAACTTGTTCTCTGGTTCGGTTAGAGCTCACATACACCGAATTCCTGATACAGACAACTTTTACTGCCTGAGTAACAGAAGATTTTAAATGATTTAAAATCTACATGAAATTCATGAAGGCTGAGAGCACAGCCAAAGTGGGAAAGGTTATCCCCTGGAAAGCTTACACGCACGGCAACAAAGCTGGGAATGCTTAAGGTCTGCTTACATCCCTGGCTCTCTGAGTCAGACACAATGGGAACATCAACAGGTGAGCACATTTCCAAGCTTTCACAATGGACAAGATGACTAAAGTTTGGTCTGCAGTGGGAAAATCACTTGAAGCACATCACTCTTATTTGATAAAGTTCAATACAACAGAAATATACACGGCCTGACACATGTGAACAGTGACCTCAGATTTCACAGATAATATCCACCTCTGTTAATCCACAATTTGGACTTTATCTATGTTGTACCTAAAACTCCCACTCTGGCAAACATGCCACTCATCCATTCCAGAGCCTTCCACCTCCACCGAGCGCCCAGCCAGGAAACTACTGCACTACTTAACCCAGTCATTGTCTTCAGGCCTTACGGGTCTCAGTAATTAGCCCTACATCCAGGATACAACAGGAGAGGCATGGGAAACAGGGGTACATATTTTACTACAGCCATACTAATGCGATTGTCTGCTTAGCCTTCTGCCCAGAATAGCTTGAGTATTAATTAATTCCCTGACTCCATTTCCTACACTGACTGTAAGAGACCATCTGCTTAATTACCTCAGTACTACAATGCTTAGTGTCAAGTCAGCACTACATTTTTGCCCCACGTAAGTTTGCTCCAAAAAAACTTTTGCCTGTGAGACACTGGGATTTGTTTAGGACTCATCTATAAACCATCTAGGGTTGTTGGTGAAAAATTCACCAACGTAAGGGCTGATTGGAAGGGACATCCAAGGGTCATCTGGACCAGCATCATGCTGAAAGCAGGACCACTCGAAATTCTAGATTAGCCAGCCAAAAGAATAATTCCTGTCCTGAAACCAGCACAAGCACTCGAGCTGGAACTCAATTCAGTGCAAAGTCCATGGGAAGGGGAAAGGAGAACACAGGGTATACTCTTCCTTTGAAACACCCCAACAAACTGGGGTGAAGTGACGCAAGCCTTTGCCTATCAATAGCTGGGAAACATACCGCCCTAAAGCTGTACAACCACTTCAGACAGATTGGTTCTGTAAGTGCAGGTAAAGCCAGCCTGCTAGTGCTGTTAGTTTATATTGATTTATACTGCTGTCAAAAGGACCCAGAGCAGGGAGATGTGTGCAATTTTTAACTCTGTGCACAGCAGCTGAACTGAAACCTGAAAACACACCCCCAGGTCAACTGACCTGTGTGGTTTCTGTAACAGATGCCAGCTGCAGGTATTCTGAATTTCCCCAACCAAAGACATCTCCTTCATCCGAAACAGCCAGGCAACAGTCCCCATAGGAAGAGACCTGGATAATATTCACTCCAGCAATGTCACCATGTAGCTTAGTAGGAACACTGGTGATGTTGTAGTGTCCAAGACCTGAAAGGAAAAAAGTAGCGAGGTGATGAAGAATTTTTTCCACCCATTCTTTCAATACCTACATAGGACCATTTTGTCATGTTATAACACAATCACCTTCTCTCCAAAAGAAATCTTTCTGTCCATACCTCTGAACTGCCAGCTTCAGTGGACGAGCAGCCACAAACACCAGTCGTACTACACAAAGCTCCCTCTCTAGAGTACAAAACAACTTCGTATAATCACACCTGGAAAAGAGTTGAGGCCCTCATCTCTCTTGTCGGCAGGAACCAAAGTGTTTGAGAGAGCAGGAACCAAGCTAGGCAGATACACCAACAAGGTGGAGGTTCCCAAACCAGCTGTGTCCTCTCTGCAAGGAGAGCCATGAGCAACAGCACGCTGGCAATCAGCTTAAACAGCAGCAGGTGAAGTGGCAGAAGAGGCTGGGAAGCACACACACTACATGACAAATAGCTGCCTGGACAGGTGGCCAGAATGTAGATGACAAACAAGATGGGCTACAGTACGTCCACACAAGAGAACCACGGGCAGAACCCAGCTTCAGGAGCAGCAGGGCTAAACAGTAGGAAGGGCTGGAAGTTCTGACAGCAGGAGCCACCAGAAAAAGGGCCTGGCCAAAGGTCCCATGCTAAGACAGCAGCAGCTGCCAAAGGTCTCTGTCTGTCCAAAAGGAGCAAGAAGCAAAACAGACCCTGAAATGAGAATCAGGAAAGCAAAATCTGCACAGAACCAGGGAGCTAACCTTTCCATGCCACCTCCACATCCCTTCACAAGCTTCAAACAGTAGACACATGCTCCCCAGACTACATGCTTGGATCCCCACCACAGCATCCTAAAGCTCCTCCAAAAATGAACTGGTTTGTCTCAGCTTGGTTACACCAGAGTACTGAGAACACCTGCACACAGCTGGAAACATACCAGCCCCTTTCTGTCCACAAATGCATGGCAAATATACATCACAACCTCTGGATTAAGACAGCTTCTTATATTCATCAAGTCACTGAAATGCCAGCTGGGCTGAGCTCCCACCTGTTTGTCCATCAGCTCCCCATCCGCATGCATAGACTGCACCCTTCTTGGTTCTGAACAGACTGTGGTCCTGCCCGCACACCACCTGCACACAAACAAAAAGTCAGAGCTGCTCAGGAAAGGTCACGCGTTCAGAATCGGTTTAACAAAGCACTACTGGCAGACAAACTGAGCAATGAACCTCTACAATGCCCATCCACTCCGATTTTGACCTTTCTCTCCAGATCAAATGGCTCTACAGAGAGGGAAGGCTAAGCACAGCACGATACAGCACAAAAAACAGCAGAATTATCTTTGTGGAATACGATGCTGCATTTGATTTGTTCCGAGACCCAAAACAAGCCCTATTTAACAGCAAGCTCGATTCAGCAGTACAACATAATAAAACAGCAAAGAGTAAATAAGAGATCTCCCTTCCCATAGATGTCCGTGCCAGCTACAAACTGCTATTGATTCCTTGCCACATAAGCGCTCTCAAAACACATCTGTTCTCAAACTGAGATTTACATTGAACCAGTAGCCATGTCTGCCACAGGCCTGCCATGAATGAAAGCCAAGATCTTCAAAAGCAGACATTAAAAATAAGCCCGAGATTAAAGGGATCCAGAAGTAAAGAGACTGACTACCAAGAAAATTAAGCACATAACTGCTGTCATCAAAGTACAAACAGGTACCAACTATTCAACACCCCTGAAAAAAATAATGAAGAATCCAAACAGAAGTTTGCAACCCTAATTCAAAACATCATTAGGATGTACCATGGCACACTCTCATCACGTGGACCTAAATGAATGACCCTTGTTTTCTAGGATGCTGCATGGAACAGGAGCAGTGATTGCCCACAGAGTACTGCCACAGCGGCATAGACGTACTAGCAAACTGCTCCTGTGCCTGGAAACACTGCAGCTGTGTGCCCTCCGTGGCATTCATGCTGCTCTGCAGTCCCTTCATCTCCTGAAACCTGCCCTAGGGAAATACTGGCTCACAGCTCACTTTTGAGATGGGGCAGACAAAACTCAAAATAAAACAGCTCAAGTGATATAAAAGTGCCAAAGGGGAAAAAGAGCAAGAAATCAGGACAGGAAGAGATGAGGCATCAAAACCTTACCTGCACAACTCTGCTGTCAAACTCCTTCAGCTGGTGAATTAGATGGCTTTCACTGGACACCATCAAACCACCACCGAGAAGAGAAAAGGTAACACAGAGGATTTCAGAGGACTGCAACTGAAAAATGTGAAGGTAGACCTGCCCTTACTGAAAGACACTTTGCTATTACAAGAAGAGAGATTTTTTCACATGTTCTCTTACATATTCAAAGAGCATAGATCCACTGTAAAATGACTGCACAAAGAAGGAAAGTAATTTTGCATTCTCTTATTTAAGAAGTTAAGAACTGTCATTTTTAAATATAACCTCTCGTGGGAATTGGGGGTGGGAGCAATCCTCAAACACATTCCCTAGTCTGGAAGGAGCACAGACACTAGATAATACCGCAGCACCGATATAAACGCTACACTTAACCAGAGATTAACTAGATTTAAATCCCAGAGCACAAACACTGTAGCACCCATTTCATTCTTTCACAAAAACAGGAATCCTGAACAATCCAATGACCAACTTCAAGTATTAAGGTGAAAATAAAAAAAGCTAGCTAAGTTACAGCTGTTTTCTTAAACCCTACAGGCCAAGTCCAGTGGACCACAGAGAGAACAATCAGCAAGATCTCTTCTAGGTCCTGCCAGGGAATTAGTAACTTTCAACACATTTCCACTACCCACTTACATCACTGCTACCTTATAGAGGAGAATATGCTTCAGTGTGGCCCACAGAAACCCTGTAAAGGAAACACACTAGAGATCCAAAGGCAGCTACAACAAAGAGCTTCGACAAAAGGATGGCTCCTTCATCATTAAACAGCATTTTAACACCCTCAGAAACAGCACCTACACTCTGAAAGGCTGCAGGGAGAAAGACTAACACCAATTATCTCAGGCTATTGATGAAGGTTGGGTTTTCTCACTATGCCCTGTGAAAACTGTTACATGCTGACATCTTTCTGTCTTCTGTGAATGTGTCAGAAGCGTGCTCGTGCTCAGCCTGGGTCTAAAGCCAGGCTGTTTATATGACGCCTGCAGCACAAAAGCCTGTTCTCAGACTCCTTAATCTTAAATGACATCCTTATACTACCAGATTTTTCCCACCTCCAGGCTTTTCTGTAGAGTTGTTTTCATGCAATCACGTTTTTAACATTAGAATCTTTGGATTCTCACCTGTAAGTTTCATCTTCAACAACCTTCCGGCCACACTGTCCGTAAGAATTGTTCCCCATGGTGAAAACTGAAAAACAACAACATGCACTGGTTTTATTACTGTCCGATCCCCTGAAAGCTTCTTTTCAAGTACACAGAATATTTTCATGCAGTCCTCAGTACACAAGGTGAAACACAGGACTGTAAAAACTGGCAGAAGCTCTCTTCAAACTAAGTCTACTTAAATTCAAGTGACTGAATCCATTTTAGTCAACAATATCCCGGCCATGTTGTTGCAGGCACAGGAGCGGTACCTGGAGCCCATTGGCTCGTGTTCAGGAATTGCCGAGTCCATCCTGCTGTTGCCAAGGAGACTCAGAAATAGATCAGCGCTCCCACAGGAGTGCTAAATCAACCAGCCAACCAGCTCACCCCTGAGAAGCAGCACTGGATTGCTCAGCGCAGCACTGAAGCCACTGCGCCGGAGAATTCCCAGAGATGTGGAGAGCCAACTCACAAACAGGATCTTCTGTATAAAAGCCGATTAATTAATCACTTTTATAAATGCAGCACTCTGGGGCTGCAAGGCGAAAGTAACACCAGAGTCCTGGCATAGCCATCCAAAACTGAATTCAAAACCCATCTGACTGAACAAGACAAATAGGCTACACTTAAACCAGGCCTGGGGCTAGATAAACAAACCATATTTTGCAACACTTGTAGTGAGAAAGCTTCCAATCCATCTACAGCTGGAGCCAAGCAGAGCTCAAGCACAGTTATCAGCCCTGGGCTCTCCCTCCCCGCAGCAATCCCACCAAGGCCAACAGCTCCCAGCACGGCACTTACAGCGCAGACAGCCCACCTGGGGTCTAGTTCTAAAGGACAGAAGACAATCCTTTTCGGAGCTTTTAACAAACGCACAGTCAGGTGTCCCTGGCCACCAGCACAAGCGATACTGTACCTCCTTCACTGTCTGTCAGGATCAGGGAATGGGCTCTCCCACAGGACACCTGCAAGACTCGAGTCTGCTGCGGCTTCTCCAGTGGTAATGGAATTGGAGATGGTTCCAAGACATATTCATAGCCCTTAGCTAAAGGAAGAGAGAGAAATTTTAAAAGTCAGTAGCTTCCACAAAGCAAAACCATCATATATTTGCCATCCTTTTGTACATACACATGCTCATTTCTATTTTGTTACAAAAGCAGATCTAGGTTAGCAAGCCAAGATACTAACCAAAGGAAAAGGCAGGCTGGGATTCAACAGGGAGGGGGGAAGAAGTTAAAAGCCACAGGGATGGCTGAGGCCAATAATCACTGCCTAATCAAAAACCCACCACACCTAGGTGCTTCAGGTGGCCAGGATTGAGAAACGGAGGCTTTCAGCCCTATGTTCAACCACTTTGGTGAATAAGGCTGGATTACTAGAGAGTTTAACACCAGCCACAAACTAAGCACTCTGTGCAGCTGGGGATACTGCAAACAAGGTACAACAGCAGCCATCACAGAAAGACAGCGTGAAAGGTGAACAAAAAAATCTTACAGCTTCATATTTAAAGACGGGTAGATGAAAGGCCCTTTCTGAAATAAGGAATGGAAGAAACATTAGCTAGCCTGGCTCCAGAGGGGATAAGAGATACAATGCTTATGAAAGAAAATGACAGGCTGGACTACAAAAAGAAGATTTAGTAACTTGAAGAATATGTAATCAGTTACAGTCAACTGGGGGAAAAAAAGGGAAAAAAAAAAGACCAGGAAAACATAAATCAGTACTAGCGGAAAGGTTAAAGGGAGATAAAAAGCTTTGGTATTAAAAAAAGCCACAGGAACAAGTGAAATTAAATCCCAGAGGACCCAAAGCAGCATCTGCTCACACAGAGCAGTGCTTTAACTAATTCTCACTGCCTTCAATTAAAAAAACACCAAGAGAATCTACACACACCCTTTGACAGTAAGACACTACTCAATGAGAGGATGGGCATCACAGCTGGCTGTTTGCAAGCGGTGGGAGCCTGCTGTGCAATATAGCAGGAACTGAAAGGCAAAGTTTCTGTCTGCCTAAAGTGACACAGAAGTCACAAAGCAAATAACCTTTTCCTCTCTGTTCCTTCCAGCAAAGCGACACAAGCTGCTGGGATCTGTAGTAATCACCACTGTTATCTGTTGGATTTAGGAGAAAACAGGCAATGAGGTGACTAAGGAAGAGGAAAGTGAAAGCAAAATATTAGTAGTTTAGTTTAGAAACAGCAGAAGTTAAAAGCACGAAATACAACCATCTAAAAGTCAGAAGGCTGCAAATTCCCCCTCGAAACGAAGCAGCTACAGGGACACAGTGTTGGAACTAGGAGCTACCAAAGCCAGGTTATAAAACTGAGTAATGAGCAGCAGGTCCAGCAGGAAGCTTGTCTGCGGGAAGTTCTGTACGGAGCAGCAGCAATCCCACTGATCTGCACCACTCCTTCAACAGATCCTACCGAACACGGAATGCTCTCTTACTTAGAAGGGCTTGAACTGCAAAACTATTTAACCTCTTTCTGGATTCTCTGGCACAAATAATCTGCAAGGTGGATGAAAAACAAGAAAACAACAAGACCCTCCTGAGACATCAGCACATACAGAACTAAGAGTAAGAGCTGAAACCCTTAAAAGCAGAAGTGAGTGGAGGCTTCCTGTGCAGTCCCTTCATTTTGCAGCTGCTGTTTGAGCAAACACATGCATACGCTGTGTGCTCGCACTCTTGGACATCTATAGAGTACGCCAGCAGCAATGCACAAACAGCAGTGCCACAGTAAACTTTTTCTTTTGCTTCTCCACAAAGTTTAATCTTTTGCCCATATCAGATGCACCAAAGCTTAATGTATTATGCTCTTACATATTATAAAGAGAAAAACTGTTTTTAACATAGTTTTCCCCAATTTTTTATGAAGGAATGTATTTAAACTGTTAGAGACAACCATTCTATAAGTGCAGTAAGTTTGTGGTTTCGTATCTGTCTTAGGCAGAAGGTAGCAATGCTCTGCAAAGAAATCATCATCTTAAGTGGTATAACACACAGAATGACTGAAAAACACGTTTTTCCTTCAAAAAGAAGTTTTGAATTGAAATAAAAAACCCCTACAGCTTCACAAAAAATTCCACTGACTGAATAAAAACATCTTAGTTGGAAAGGAAATTAGTTTATAGGTGCAAAGGCAACAGAGGTGAGCAAACCATCTTGCCAAAATCGTTTTATTAACGCTGTTTACTACCAAACTATGGAGATTCAAAGCAACACCTTAACCAACACATACACGCTTCTCCAGAGTAAATAGTTACTTAGAGTTTCATTATGTCCACACAAGGATGCAAGCACAGTGAACAAAACACATGCATACCTTCACCAGTTACAAAGCACACAAAACCACGGGTAAATTTCAAAAAAAGACCTCTTAAAAAAAGAAAAAAAGAAAAAAAGAAAAAAGCACAGCCCTGCACTCTGCATCAAAGCCTCCTGCACGTTTTTCATGCCATCTAATGCAAAGTTTCCCACATCACATCTATCCTGTAGTGCCACCCTGCAAGTCTTTAAAACACTTCAATCCTTACCTCGATCTCTTCTGCTCCTCTGGAACCCAAGCTGGGAGTCCTTGTTCAGGCCCATGCCCCACACTTTGGTGATGTCTGTGGTACTAGAGGACAGCAGCGTGAATCCATAGCCGCAGGCAGCAGAGGAGATCTGTGAACACAAACAAAAACCATGCAATTCAGTTATAAACCACTACTTAGAAAAACAAGTTTCACCCCATGCTATCTGCTCATCAGCCTTCATCAAGCTGTATCCAAACACGGCCCAGATTCATGGTCCATATGGGCTTTGTACCAGTGATCAGAAACACTCTTTGGAGACAAGCACAACGGTGTAAACTCAAGCACAACACTACTGCCTTAGAGATGTGTTTTTGTGTGCATACATCTTCATTTCTGCATTATTCCGGACCCATCAAACACAACAGGAAAACCTATTCGCTGACCTGCAGCAGTAATGGATTAAAAACAAACAAACAAACAAAAACCAACAACAAACACAAAGAGATATTAAGAGAATGACATTCCCCTCTTCTACTCCTTTAGCAAAAAACACCCGGTATAAAAGCTCTGGCCTTCAACCCGGGTCAATGTCTGAAACATGCCGACAGCGTGATTTTCGACTCAAGTTTCCCATTTCGTCAGGGTGAGAGGAGCCAGGCGAGCCGCAGAGAGCGGGGCCCTCTTTCTCCCCAGAGGTGG